TGGACTTGGCAGCAGCATGAGGAGGCGGTATAGGGGCCCATGGCAGATTAGGGGCCTGGCAGCAGCTATGGGAGGCCCGTAATCTGCCAGCACCCTATGACAAAAAATGTAACACACCAGCAGTGTGAGGAGACCTGAAAGTGGCACATGTTTGGGGCATGATTCATGGCGGATTTAGTCAGTTGTGTCAGGAACTGGTGGTTTGAAATCCAGACTAATCCACGCCTGATTCATTTTCACAAACGTCAGTCTCTCCACACTTTGGGTGGACAGTCGTGTCCTCCGCGGAGTTGCAATACCTCCTGCCGCACTAAACACGCGCTCCGATGCCACGCTACTGGCCGGGCATGACAGCCTTTCAAGGGCAAATTCAGCTAGTTGGGGCCAAAGGTCAAGTTTCGTTGCCCAGTAGTCAAGGGGATTGTCTACCTCGGTTGGCAGGGTGCTGTCCAAGTAGGCCTAAGCCTGTTGTTTGAGGTCCTGCTCCAGGTCCACCTGATGCTGCTGCTGCTGCTGCTGCTGCGGCTGGTTAGTAGTTTCCTCACTGCGCTGGTGAAGAAAGCTACTCATCATCATCGACTGCAGACTGAGGCAGCCGCTGCTGGTGGAGCTGCCACTGCTCCTACCACCCCCCCCCCTCCCCTGCTGCCATGGCAGCGGAACGCGAGCGCACAGGGCCCACAGTGTCTGAGGATGGACGTTGGCGCAGACAGGCAGAGACCAGCTGACTACATAGGTGGTTTTTATAGTACGTTATTTTGGCCTCCCTCTCAGCAGGTGTGAAAAAGGCCACCATTTTTGAACGGTAGCGAGGGTCCAACAAGGTGGACAGCCAAAAGTCATCCCTCTGTCTGATGGTTATTATTCGGCTGTCGCTACGCAAGCAACCGAGCATGCTATGGGCCATTTGTGCCAAGGAATGCGAGGGACTCCCTGCCTCCATCTCCACAGCATACTGCCACGGTGCGTCTGGGTCCTCTGTCTCCTCCTCCTCCTCCTCCTCTACCAGATGCTCCTGCTCCTCCACTCCTGTCCGCTGAGTGGAAAAACCACCCATTTCACTCAATAATTCCTGAGCACCAATGTCCTCCTCTACCTCCTCCTCTTCTTCCTGTCCTGCCCCCACAGGGGTCATGTGGCGTTGAGATCTGTGCGCCACGTCTACCGCACCCTGACCAGCCATTGTTAACAGCATTTGTTCCAGGACGTGCAACAGAGGAATGACGTCGTTCATCCCATAGTCCTGCCGACTCACGAATAGCGTGGCCTCCTCAAAGGGCCTGAGCAAGCGCAGGTGTCACGCATGAGCTGCCAATGGCTGACATCTAAGTTACACAGGGAGTACCTTTATCCGCTTTTAACATCAGGGAAATCTGTGATGGCCTTTCGCTGTTCGTAAAGGCGGTCTAACATATGTAGGGTTGAATTCCACCTTGTTGCAACGTCACAGCATGAGGAGTCGGTACGGGGGCCCATGGCAGATTACGTGCCTGGCAGCAGCAATGGGAGGCCCGTAATCTGCCAGCACCCTATGTCAAAAAATTCAACACACCAGCAGTGTGAGGAGACCTGAAAGTGGCACATGGCAGAGTGTGGCTATGGAGACAGCAGCAATGGGGAGGCCGTACAGGGACCCATGACACACTCTGGACTTGGCAGCAGCATGAGGAGGCGGGTATATAGGGGCCCATGGCAGATTAGGGGCCTGGCAGCAGCTATGGGAGGCCCGTAATCTGCCAGCACCCTATGTCAAAAAATTCTACACACCAGCAGTGTGAGGAGACCTGAAAGTGGCACATGGCAGAGTGTGGCGATGGAGACAGCAGCAATGGGAGGCCGTACAGGGACCCATGAGAGAGACTCTGGACCTGGCAGCAGCATGAGGAGGCGGTATATAGGGGCCCATGGCAGATTAGGGGCCTGGCAGCAGCTATGGGAGGCCCGTAATCTGCCAGCACCCTATGTCAAAAAATTCTACACACCAGCAGTGTGAGGAGACCTGAAAGTGGCACATGGCAGAGTGTGGCGATGGAGACAGCAGCAATGGGAGGCCGTACAGGGACCCATGAGAGACTCTGGACCTGGCAGCAGCATGAGGAGGAGGCGCGGTATATAGGGGGCCTATGGCAGATTAGGGGCCTGGCAGCAGCTATGGGAGGCCCGTAATCTGCCAGCACCCTATGTCAAAAAATTCAACACACCAGCAGTGTGTGGAGACCTGAAAGTGGCACATGGCAGAGTGTGGCGATGGAGACAGCAGCAATGGGAGGCCGTACAGGGACCCATGAGAGACTCTGGACCTGGCAGCAGCATGAGGAGGCGGTATATAGGGGCCCATGGCAGATTAGGGGCCTGGCAGCAGCTATGGGAGGCCCGTAATCTGCCAGCACCCTATGTCAAAAAAATTCTACACACCAGCAGTGTGTGAGGAGACCTGAAAGTGGCACATGGCAGAGTGTGGCGATGGAGACAGCAGCAATGGGAGGCCGTACAGGGACCCATGAGAGAGACTCTGGACCTGGCAGCAGCATGAGGAGGCGGCGGTATAGGGGGCCCATGGCAGATTAGGGGCCTGGCAGCAGCTATGGGAGGCCCGTAATCTGCCAGCACCCTATGTCAAAAAAAATTCTACACACCAGCAGTGTGTGAGGAGACCTGAAAGTGGCACATGGCAGAGTGTGGCGATGGAGACAGCAGCAATGGGAGGCCGTACAGGGACCCATGAGAGACTCTGGACCTGGCAGCAGCATGAGGAGGCGGTATATAGGGGCCCATGGCAGATTAGGGGCCTGGCAGCAGCTATGGGAGGCCCGTAATCTGCCAGCACCCTATGTCAAAAAATTCTACACACCAGCAGTGTGTGAGGAGACCTGAAAGTGCACATGGCAGAGTGTGGCGATGGAGACAGCAGCAATGGGAGGCCGTACAGGGACCCATGAGAGACTCTGGACCTGGCAGCAGCATGAGGAGGCGGTATATAGGGGCCCATGGCAGATTAGGGGCCTGGCAGCAGCTATGGGAGGCCCGTAATCTGCCAGCACCCTATGTCAAAAAATTCTACACACCAGCAGTGTGTGAGGAGACCTGAAAGTGGCACATGGCAGAGTGTGGCGATGGAGACAGCAGCAATGGGAGGCCGTACAGGGACCCATGAGAGACTCTGGACCTGGCAGCAGCATGAGGAGGCGGTATATAGGGGCCTATGGCAGATTAGGGGCCTGGCAGCAGCTATGGGAGGCCCGTAATCTGCCAGCACCCTATGTCAAAAAATTCTACACACAGCAGTGTGTGAGGAGACCTGAAAGTGGCACATGGCAGAGTGTGGCGATGGAGACAGCAGCAATGGGAGGCCGTACAGGGACCCATGAGAGAGAGCTCTGGACCTGGGCAGCAGCATGAGGAGGCGGTATATAGGGGCCCATGGCAGATTAGGGGCCTGGCAGCAGCTATGGGAGGCCCGTAATCTGCCAGCACCCTATGTCAAAAAATTCTACACACCAGCAGTGTGTGAGGAGACCTGAAAGTGGCACATGGCAGAGTGTGGCGATGGAGACAGCAGCAATGGGAGGCCGTACAGGGACCCATGAGAGACTCTGGACCTGGCAGCAGCATGAGGAGGCGGTATATAGGGGGGCCATGGCAGATTAGGGGCCTGGCAGCAGCTATGGGAGGCCCGTAATCTGCCAGCACCCTATGTCAAAAAATTCTACACACCAGCAGTGTGTGAGGAGACCTGAAAGTGGCACATGGCAGAGTGTGGCGATGGAGACAGCAGCAATGGGAGGCCGTACAGGGACCCATGAGAGACTCTGGACCTGGCAGCAGCATGAGGAGGCGGTATATAGGGGCCTATGGCAGATTAGGGGCCTGGCAGCAGCTATAGGAGGCCCGTAATCTGCCAGCACCCTATGTCAAAAAATTCTACACACCAGCAGTGTGTGAGGAGACCTGAAAGTGGCACATGGCAGAGTGTGGCGATGGAGACAGCAGCAATGGGAGGCCGTACAGGGACCCATGAGAGACTCTGGACTGGCAGCAGCATGAGGAGGCGGTATATAGGGGCCTATGGCAGATTAGGGGCCTGGCAGCAGCTATGGGAGGCCCGTAATCTGCCAGCACCCTATGTCAAAAAATTCTACACACCAGCAGTGTGTGAGGAGACCTGAAAGTGGCACATGGCAGAGTGTGGCGATGGAGACAGCAGCAATGGGAGGCCGTACAGGGACCCATGAGAGACTCTGGACCTGGCAGCAGCATGAGGAGGCGGTATATAGGGGCCCATGGCAGATTAGGGGCCTGGCAGCAGCTATGGGAGGCCCGTAATCTGCCAGCACCCTATGTCAAAAAAATTCACACCAGCAGTGTGTGAGGAGACCTGAAAGTGGCACATGGCAGAGTGTGGCGATGGAGACAGCAGCAATGGGAGGCCGTACAGGGACCCATGAGAGACTCTGGACCTGGCAGCAGCATGAGCATGAGGAGGCGGTATATAGGGGCCTATGGCAGATTAGGGGCCTGGCAGCAGCTATGGGGGGCCCGTAATCTGCCAGCACCCTATGTCAAAAAATTCTAACACACACCAGCAGTGTGTGAGGAGACCTGAAAGTGGCACATGGCAGAGTGTGGCGATGGAGACAGCAGCAATGGGAGGCCGTACAGGGACCCATGAGAGACTCTGGACCTGGCAGCAGCATGAGGAGGCGGTATATAGGGGCCCATGGGCAGATTAGGGGCCTGGCAGCAGCTATGGGAGGCCCGTAATCTGCCAGCACCCTATGTCAAAAAATTCTACACACCAGCAGTGTGTGAGGAGAGACTGAAAGTGGCACATGGCAGAGTGTGGCGATGGAGACAGCAGCAATGGGAGGCCGTACAGGGACCCATGAGAGACTCTGGACTTGGCAGCAGCATGAGGAGGCGGTATATATATAGGGGGCCCATGGCAGATTAGGGGCCTGGCAGCAGCTATGGGAGGCCCGTAATCTGCCAGCACCCTATGTCAAAAAATTTCTACACACCAGCAGTGTGTGAGGAGACCTGAAAGTGGCACATGGCAGAGTGTGGCGATGGAGACAGCAGCAATGGGAGGCCGTACAGGGACCCATGAGAGACTCTGGACTGGCAGCAGCATGAGGAGGCGGTATATAGGGGCCCATGGCAGATTAGGGGCCTGGCAGCAGCTATGGGAGGCCCGTAATCTGCCAGCACCCTATGTCAAAAAATTCTACACACCAGCAGTGTGAGGAGACCTGAAAGTGGCACATGGCAGAGTGTGGCGATGGAGACAGCAGCAATGGGGGAGGCCGTACAGGGGACCCATGAGAGACTCTGGACTTGGCAGCAGCATGAGGAGGCGGTATATAGGGGCCCATGGCAGATTAGGGGCCTGGCAGCAGCTATGGGAGGCCCGTAATCTGCCAGCACCCTATGTCAAAAAATTCTACACACCAGCAGTGTGTGAGGAGACCTGAAAGTGGCACATGGCAGAGTGTGGCGATGGAGACAGCAGCAATGGGAGGCCGTACAGGGACCCATGAGAGACTCTGGACCTGGCAGCAGCATGAGGAGGCGGTATATAGGGGCCCCCATGGCAGATTAGGGGCCTGGCAGCAGCTATGGGAGGCCCGTAATCTGCCAGCACCCTATGTCAAAAAATTCTACACACCAGCAGTGTGTGAGGAGACCTGAAAGTGGCACATGGCAGAGTGTGGCGATGGAGACAGCAGCAATGGGAGGCCGTACAGGGACCCATGAGAGACTCTGGACTTGGCAGCAGCATGCATGAGGAGGGTTATAGGGGCCCATGGCAGATTAGGGGCATGGCAGATTAGGGGCCTGGCAGCAGCTATGGGAGGCCCGTAATCTGCCAGCACCCTATGTCAAAAAATTCTACACACCAGCAGTGTGTGAGGAGACCTGAAAGTGGCACATGGCAGAGTGTGGCGATGGAGACAGCAGCAATGGGAGGCCGTACAGGGACCCATGAGAGACTCTGGACTGGCAGCAGCATGAGGAGGCGGTATATAGGGGCCCATGGCAGATTAGGGGCCTGGCAGCAGCTATGGGAGGCCCGTAATCTGCCAGCACCCTATGTCAAAAAATTCTACACACCAGCAGTGTGTGAGGAGACCTGAAAGTGGCACATGGCAGAGTGTGGCGATGGAGACAGCAGCAATGGGAGGCCGTACAGGGACCCATGAGAGACTCTGGACCTGGCAGCAGCATGAGGAGGCGGTATATAGGGGCCCATGGCAGATTAGGGGCCTGGCAGCAGCTATGGGAGGCCCGTAATCTGCCAGCACCCTATGTCAAAAAATTCTACACACCAGCAGTGTGTGAGGAGACCTGAAAGTGGCACATGGCAGAGTGTGGCGATGGAGACAGCAGCAATGGGAGGCCGTACAGGGACCCATGAGAGACTCTGGGACCTGGCAGCAGCATGAGGAGGCGGGTATATAGGGGCCTATGGCAGATTAGGGGCCTGGCAGCAGCTATAGGAGGCCCGTAATCTGCCAGCACCCTATGTCAAAAAATTCTACACACCAGCAGTGTGTGAGGAGACCTGAAAGTGGCACATGGCAGAGTGTGGCGATGGAGACAGCAGCAATGGGAGGCCGTACAGGGACCCATGAGAGACTCTGGACCTGGCAGCAGCATGAGGAGGCGGTATATAGGGGCCTATGGCAGATTAGGGGCCTGGCAGCAGCTATGGGAGGCCCGTAATCTGCCAGCACCCTATGTCAAAAAATTCTACACACCAGCAGTGTGTGAGGAGACCTGAAAGTGGCACACATGGCAGAGTGTGGCGATGGAGACAGCAGCAATGGGAGGCCGTACAGGGACCCATGAGAGACTCTGGACTTGGCAGCAGCATGAGGAGGCGGTATATAGGGGCCCATGGCAGATTAGGGGCCTGGCAGCAGCTATAGGAGGCCCGTAATCTGCCAGCACCCTATGTCAAAAAATTCTACACACCAGCAGTGTGTGAGGAGACCTGAAAGTGGCACATGGCAGAGTGTGGCGATGGAGACAGCAGCAATGGGAGGCCGTACAGGGACCCATGAGAGACTCTGGACCTGGGCAGCAGCATGAGGAGGCGGTATATAGGGGCCTATGGCAGATTTAGGGCCTGGCAGCAGCTATAGGAGGCCCGTAATCTGCCAGCACCCTATGTCAAAAAAAATTCAACACACCAGCAGTGTGTGAGGAGACCTCAAAGTGGCACATGTTTGAGGCATGATTCATGGCGGATTTAGTCAGTTGTGTCAGGAACTGGTGGTTTGAAATCCAGACTAATCCACGCCTGATTCATTTTCACAAACGTGAGTCTCTCCACACTTTGGGTGGACAGTCGTGTCCTCCGCGGAGTTACAATACCTCCTGCCGCACTAAACACGCGCTCCGATGCCACGCTACTGGCCGGGCATGACAGCCTTTCAAGGGCAAATTCAGCTAGTTGGGGCCAAAGGTCAAGTTTCGTTGACCAGTAGTCAAGGGGATTGTCTACCTCGGTTGGCAGGGTGCTGTCCAAGTAGGCCCAAGCCTGTTGTTTGAGGTCCTGCTCCAGGTCCACCTGATGCTGCTGCTGCTGCTGCTGCTGCGGCTGGTGGTTAGTAGTTTCCTCACTGCGCTGGTGAAGAAAGCTACTCATCATCGACTGCAGACTGAGGCAGCCGCTGCTGGTGGAGCTGCCACTGCTCCTACCACCCCACCCCTCCCCTGCTGCCATGGCAGCGGAACGCGAGCGCACAGGGCCCACAGTGTGTCTGAGGATGGACGTTGGCGCACAAAGGCAGAGACCAACTGACTACATAGGTGGTTTTTATAGTACGTTATTTTGGCCTCCCTCTCAGCAGGTGTGAAAAAGGCCACCATTTTGGAACGGTAGCGAGGGTCCAACAAGGTGGACAGCCAAAAGTCATCCCTCTGTCTGATGGTTATTATTCGGCTGTCGCTACGCAAGCAACCGAGCATGCTATGGGCCATTTGTGCCAAGGAATGCGAGGGACTCCCTGCCTCCATCTCCACAGCATACTGCCACGGTGCGTCTGGGTCCTCTGTCTCCTCCTCCTCCTCCTCTACCAGATGCTCCTGCTCCTCCACTCCTGTCCGCTGTGAGTGGAAAAACCACCCATTTCACTCAATAATTTCTGAGCACAAATGTCCTCCTCTACCTCCTCCTCTTCTTCCTGTCCTGCCCCCACAGGGGTCATGTGGCGTTGAGATCTGTGCGCCACGTCTACCGCACCCTGACCAGCCATTGTTAACAGCATTTGTTCAAGGACGTGCAACAGAGGAATGACGTCGTTCATCCCATAGTCCTGCCGACTCACGAATAGCGTGGCCTCCTCAAAGGGCCTGAGCAAGCGGCAGGTGTCACGCATGAGCTGCCAATGGCTGACATCGAAGTTACACAGGGGAGTACCTTTATCCGCTTGTAACATCAGGAAATCGGTGATGGCCTTTCGCTGCTCGTAAAGGCGGTCTAACATGTGTGTAGGGTTGAATTCCACCTTGTTGCAACGTCGCAGATCAGGCGATGATGTGTGAATTCCGTTCTGCCGCTGCAGCTCAAGGAGGGTGTGCTTTGCGGTGTAGGAATGGCTGAAATGCATGCAAAGTTTACGTGACATTTTAAGGATGTCTTGCAGTGGGATGGTGGATTTTAGGAACCGCTTGCTTGACAACCAGATTGAACACGTGAGCCATGCATGGCGCATGGCACAACCTTCCTTGACGCAGAGCAGACACCATGTTCTTTCCGTTGTCGGTCAACATGGTTCCGATTTTCAGTTTGCGCGGAGACAGCCATCTGTCGATTTCTCTGTTCATTACACTCAGAAGTTCCTCCCCTGTGTGACTACGTTCGCCAAGGCATACCAGGTGCAGAACAGCGTGACACCGTTGCGCCCTGCACATGTGATATGCCGGTCGGGTAATGGGACTTGGCACGGGGGTGGCGGCTGAGGACACGGCGGAAGAAGAGGTGGTAGAGGCGGACATCTTTGCCGGACCAAGGACGTGCAAACGTGGAGGCAAAAGCGGCGTGACCTGTCCAAGTTGCTGGTGCGGCTGTGACGGCACCACGTTCACCCAGTGGGCCGTAAATGACATGTACTGTCCCTGACCGTAGTTACAGCTCCACACGTCGGCGCTGCCGTGCACTTTGGCAGAGACCGACATGCTCAAAGACTGGCCCACCATGTCTTCTACATGTGAATGCAGGGCTGGCACTGCCTTTTTGGCGAAGAAATGACGGCTTGGCACTCTCCACCGCGGCGCGGCACAAGCACATCATTTCTCTGAAAGGTGCTGAGTCCACCACTTGGAAAGGGGAGGGACTGCAGCACCAGCAACTTGGACAGGAGGACGTTCAGCTTTTGCACCGTCGGGTGCGTGCTCGCAAACTGTTGTCTCTTGGAAACGGATTCCAAGAAAGACTGCTGACGGAATCCGTGAAGAGGAGTAGCAGGAGAAGGAGCATCTGAACGAGCGGAAGATGCCAACGAGCGACAACTCCCCTCAGCAGAGGTGTTGGAGCCTTGACTGGCTGATGGAGGGCGATTGACGTCGGGTGACGGAGCAAGTAACGGAGGGGTGATGGAGCGGGGGCTGGGGCGGGCAGAACCACCGTATCTTTATCACGGTTTTCCCAGGCCACCAAATGGCGACGCTGCATATGCTGCCGCAACGCTGTAGTCCCAACATGGGCCCCCTGGCCACGCTTGACTTTCTGGCCACATAGTCGACATACGGCTACGTTTACTTCCTCGGGCGCTTGACGAAAAATTGCCACACCGCCGAGTAGGAAACTTTGCCCCCGCTACTCCTTACTGGCTGACTGCTACTTCCTCCGTGCACACCGGCATCACTACTGGCCGTGGTGGTAGGCTGCAGTGGAGCTGGTGATCTACTCCGTGGCTGTTTGGCTCCACTGACACTGCTTCCACTGACACTGATGCGACCCTGCTGCTGTCTCCTGGGCAACCCACCGACTGTTTCGCTCACTGCCAAGCTGCCACCCTCTTCTCCTGATGATGCGGAAGAAATTGCCTGATGACGACGAGGCTGCCAAGTGCGATCAACCTCCTCATCATCCCTGATTAACGTTTCTGTGGCCCCAAGTAACAGTTCTGTGGCCCTCAGTAACAATTCTGTGTCTGTGCGAGTAACAATTCTGTGTCTGTGCGAGTAACAATTCTGTGGCCCTAACTAACAGTTCTGTGGCCCTAACTAACAGTTCTGTGTCTGTGCGAGTAACAAATTCTGTGTCTGTGCGAGTAACAATTCTGTGTCTGTGCGAGTAACAATTCTGTGGCCCTAAGTAATGGTTCTGTGGCCCTCAGTAACAGTTCTGTGTCCCTGTGTAACAATTCTGTGTCTGTGCGAGTAACAATTCTGTGGCCCTAAGTAACAGTTCTGTGGCCCTCAGTAACAATTCTGTGTCTGTGCGAGTAACAATTCTGTGTCTGTGCGAGTAACAATTCTGTGGCCCTAAGTAACAGTTCTGTGGCCCTCAGTAACAATTCTGTGTCTGTCCCTGAGTAACAATTCTGTGGCCCTA